AAAGGAGGAGGATACGCGTCAGGAATTGTTACTGAATTTAGTTTTCTACCATCAAAACAAACTCTATATGAACCGTCTTTCTTGGAAACCAGCCAGAGCGCTGAACACCAGGCACTGCTGCAAGGTTCTATAATACCCATGTCCAACATTTTATCAACTTGCTTAATAAGAGCTTTTTCCATTACATGAGAAAGCGGATATTGTCTTTGCCTGATGGGCTTTGCATCACCTGTGTCAATGTGATGTGTATATAAATGTGTACAACCAATACTGTCAGTAGGTGCAATGCTATTAAAAAGTTCAACAATTTCAAATAATTGTTCCTTTTCCATATTAGATAGCTTCTCCACACCTTGAATACAATTTACAGCACAAGATTGATATGAAAAAGTATGAAAATCAAGGTTGAAATTGAATTTTAGGATGAAATCCATGCCTAAAAGTAATGTGTGTGTAATGGAAGGAACTATTATGAATTTAATAACATGAACTTTGCCATTAAAACCTACTGGCAGCAAAGCAAAACCTAAAGTATTCTGCATCTGGCCATCAGCAGTTGTTATTTGCAAGGTACTACTGTAATCGATGTTGAGATTTAATTTACGTAATAAGTATAAGCCAGATGAACCTAGAATGTTGGCATTGCTTCCAGTATCAAGCAAAGCTAAAATGTTTTCATCACCAATGGATATTGAAAGATGTGGACGATTATCATTTGGTTTTCGAATAAATGGTTCTGAATGATCATTTGATGGCATACCTGCAAGTTGTGAATGATTAATGTCAAAATCGGGATTAATTGCTGAAGGTTGTCTTAACTTGGCTATTTGTTGGACTTCAGAATGAGACCTGGAGTTGCTTTGCCCTTTACGTCTATGACTCCTCGAGTCTGGGCGAAAGAAGTTCCGGGAGTCGGATTGGAAACTTCTTGCCTCACGTTTTTTGAACAGGAAGGACAATTAGAGCGTGTGACATTTTTCATACCACAGGTATAGCAATAAACAGCCTTAGGAGCTCTACAGTCTCGAACAGAATGTCCTAGTTTCTCGCAGTTCCAACATATAGGAGCTTTTCTGTGAGATGATGGAGTACTATCAGAAGTAACCAAGCTGGAAGTGGAAAGTCTATTGTGGGGTTGACAAGTCAAGAAGGAATCCTCTAATTTCCTACAAAGTGATGTTAGTTCAGGAAAAGTGGAAATTTCATGAAGAGCAAGTGACTTTATGAAGTCAGGCAATAAATTTCTACGGACAATATTGACCATGTCCCTTTCTGTAAATGTATTGTAGGTTAATCTATTGAATTGAGATTCCATGAACGAAATGAATATCGTAACATGTTCATGCTGACCTTGTTTGCGTCTACGAATCTCATCAATTAGGTTCATATCATAATTGTCACGTAGGAAAGCATCCTTGAGTTGTTTAATCAAGTCCTGCCAATCATGAAAGCTATTTCTTAGATGGCCATTATGCCACCATGTCCAGGCTACATCTTCAAAGAGATCACCTGCAGATGCAAAGAGATCCATCTCATTGCAACCACGGGAAGACATTAGAGATTCGACAATTTCTAGAAATTCAATAACTGAGCTATTTCCAGAAAATTTTTTGATTCCCCATTTGAAAACTGGTATCTTTTTATGCGGAGCAAAATTTATAGGAGAGAGTGGCTGTGTATGTACTGGAGGAAATAATTGAGGATTAGCAACAGTCACAGGCGGATTTGATGCTAATGGAATAGGACGAGATGAAACTGATGGAGGAGATGATTGAGCAGATGGCATCTCAAGCTTCTCTAAAAGATCCGATTCACACACAACAAGTTGTGTCTTTAATCTAGATTTTGTACTTATCTCCTCATCACAAGTAGGAGACATTCGATCTATCCTACCAGATAGATGCAATAAGCGCACACAAATTCTGCGATGTTCAACAGAATCAAATGCACCAGTAAATCTAGAGATCATCTCAGTGAGTTTATTGAATGAGAGTCTTATCTCAGTCTCATCCTCATCAAAAGGAATAGTCACAGAAGTTTCTGAGAAACTACGCCCTTGAAATTCCTGTGCTAATAAGCCACGTAAAACTTTACGTTTATCCTCCACGGTATTAGGGACTTCCAAACCTCTGATATGAATCTCGTAGTGGAGTTCATGACTTAATAAGTCATTTGGGCTTAGTCTAGACTGAACCATGATTGAGAAATAAACCTCAAAGAAACACTTGAAAGAAAAAAAATTAAAGTTAAAAACCTGAATACGTCAAGAAATGACAAGGATCTAAAACACTATAAAAAACTAACAATACAAACAAAAAGTTTCAATACAAAAACAGGAGCAGCCGAATCTTAAAAAAAATTATTTTATATCTGACATACATTAAAAGAGTACAGAGACGTTCAAGTCCTGTTAATCCAATGGAAAATCAGAAACTAATGTTCTAAATTCCCCCAAAGAATATGCCAGATAAAACTATAAAACATTAAAATTATGAAAACTTTTGCTCCAAACAAGAGACAAAATTACTACAATAGTTACTGAGGAACGTATACTATTTCAACAACAAGTTGAAGTTTAATTATCATAAATGAGTATGTGTGTCTTTGTATAGGTAAAAATGATTTAGGAGTCACCCCCTCATTGAAAAGTAGCAAAAATATAGTCAAGAAAAACATCATTTGTTTCTTGAAAAAAAGAAAGGTAAGTATCAAAGTACTATGTCCAAGTGTCAATACTTGAAAAAAAGTAAACCGCCAAAATATACGAAAAATTATGAATATCAATTTCATATAATTCAGAAAAATGGATAAATCGCAAAATGATTTACTCCAGATAACTCTAGTCAGTAGATTATTGCCATCAGAATGAAAACAAATGATCAAAAGTTCAAGTACAGTCAAAAATTCAAAAAGTAAATACATTTGGGGAAGGCAAAAATAATTTTGAAAGTAAATTTCCTACGTACCAAACATCATGAGAGCTATATCAGTACACCAGAGATCCAACAATTAGGCTATATATGCGTACATGAAAAGTCTCAAGAAATCAAAAAACTGCGCTTGAAGAAATACTTTCAAAAACTAAGAGGTTAGTGATCAAAAATGAAAAGCATATAAGAATATGTACTATAAACTATAAACAATAATAGTCACAACCTCAATCAAAAGTTTGATGATATTCGACAAAAATGCTGGGAAACCTAAAGTCCCCAGACTATCAATATTCAACAACAAAAAAATATCAAAATATCATCAATCTCAAAAGTACAATGAGAAAAAAGTTATAACTGTCCCCAGCAGTAAATAAAAACTGTAGTAGTATGTGAGACAAAAAAATTCTGGCAATGATCTCGCTGACTACTAAACAAGACAATTTAAAAGTTAATAGTATGCCTATGAAATAAACAGGTGGAAAAATTTTAATCTTTTGATAAAAATTTTAAACATTAAGCAAAAAGTAAGGATGATTAAGGAATTAGAAATTTGAGTACCAAAAGCAATTAAAAATAGAAATGCTGCCAAAGATTGTAAAGAATTTTGAAAACTATGTTCTGTCTGCCAATCTTCCACTAGCAAACCACTTGTCGACAAAGCCAAACACCTATCGAAGCCTCACGTTGCGGGTGCCAATTTATGTAACGCTTCCTTTCCGCAAAAAGTCCAGAAAAGATGGAATGCAATGAAGATTCCAACTTTTCTGCACAATCACAGAAAGGGGGTTACCATTAGCTTCCGGTAGCTCAGTCGGTGGCATGAAGACATCTACAGGCGTGTAGCTGTGTGTCGACCATGGCATGGCTAGAGGATAGAAGAACAAACAGAACACAAAAATTTAACAGATTTTATTTAACAAAAAAAAGGCATTTTCATTACATTACAGTTTTACAAAAATAACAAAATAAGTTTTACATCTTTGGCGCTGCTATAACGCTATCGACTTATCTTTCGCTGGTCCATTTTTACTCGACTGAAGCCAGGATGGCCAGGGGCTTGAAGGGGAGGTCCCAGTTATGAGGGGTGACCTCCATATAGTGGCTTCACAACCAGTTGTAGGCGAAGTTAAAGGCGATGGCGCTGCCAAGGTACATACATGGGTGAAAATATTGGCCAAGGCTAGGCAAAGTGAAAGGGAAAGAGAAAGGGGGTGGCCCCAATCATTTTTGTCCTATACGGACACACATTCTAGAAAATTCTAGCACATGGTGCTATATAACCTTGTGCTACAGAGAAGAATTTTCTAGCCGTTGTTCGATCGGCGGCTCAAGTGAAAAAGAAGCGCGAGGAAGATCGCAGATCAGGAACTCCGCATCAAGCGCTCCAAGCGGAAAATTTTCCAAGCAAAAAAGCTAGAGATGGGATTAATGAAATGATAATCGAGAAGTGATTTAATAAATACGATCGGACGGTGAAACCGTTACAGTGTGGCGTAGTGTACCCAGGTCTCGTCACCAGTAACAATAGGGTCCAGAAATTCCTCTTCGGTTGTTCCGTGAAAAGCGAGAAATTCTTGGGCCGCTTCAACCCGCTGCAGCCGGTGGTCTGCAGTGAGCATTCTTGGTACCCATCTTGCGCAGACCTTTGAATAGCCTAAATGTTCAGTCAAAATCTTGTCAATTGTGGTTTTGCTGACCTACGGAATCTTTGTGCACAGCTCCCGAACTGTAATCCGTCGATCTTCAAGCATTGCCGCTTCGACTTTGGCAATTGTTTCGTCGGAAACCGATGGCCGCCCTGCACGGGCTTCGTCGTGGACGTCTGTTTGGCCATTTTTAAAGTACCTGACCCATCTGCGCACCATCCCGCAGCTCATACAGTCTTCTCCATACACTTGACAAAGTTCTTCGTGAATTTCCTTCGCCGATTTCTTCTTAGCCGCCAGGAAACGAATAACAGAACGCAACTCGCAGCTGGCGGGAGACGCAAGAGGAAGCTCCATCGCTGACGGCTGCTGAGCCAAGACTAAACGTCGCAGCGACGCTGGCTTGGTGAGGGATTGGAGTGGGGGAACCAAACAATCTGCCTCTGTTGCCTGGCTGTGCATAGAAACGATCCTAGGGTAGGCGGCAGCCCGTGGAACTTATTTTACGGACAAGCCGTAGATAATATTTCACCGCTGAATCATCTTTTTTCCATATACTATTTTTTAATCCGCATATCTGTATATTTCTGTCTCCTGCATCCAGACCACCCTGTACTTTTCCGGTAAACCTTTGACAGCCACTAACTCTCCTCTGCATAACCTTTTCCAAACTCCATTGTACCTCAATTTCCAAATGCATCCCATTCCTGTCACAGTCACCCTCAGATTGAGCATCTTCAATGTTTTCCTCAATATCCTCTTCAAAACGCCTTTTGAAGTTATTGTTTAAGCAGTGCACTGCTACACAAACGATCATTACAAATAGTACCGCTGAGCATGCAAATGGTCGTGATGGTCATCATCGACTTCTAAAAACGTTAAACCAGTTGTGCTCAACACTTCGTCTTCCATTTCTAAAAAACATTACAAACCTGTTGTCGATATACAGGAGTTTGAATACATCTTGTAACACAACTTGTCGACTCACTGTTTAACAAGAATGTTTTAATATTGTCAATGCACGTGCATGTAGGCGCACATTCAGGTTAAAAACACACAATATGATTTAAATATATTCTACCGTGATTAAAGAGTATCTTGAATGGCGAGACAATTTCATGGAAATGAGATCATTATACAGAGTGGTGGTCAACATCATAAACGTCGGTATGTCAGTATGGCAAATAATTCCACAAATCAGAAAGGGATACCAAAGTAGATTGGTCACTTGGACCTAGGCCTGTTTCTGAAATTGGAAAAGATATAAAAGTGTTCATTTGTAGTCATTTATAGTTCGGTTGTATTTATTGCTAAAACGAGTATGTATTAGAGCAAGTGGTAAAATGCACTGAACATGCAAAATGAGAAATTTACCATAAACCTAATTTTTCACTCAATATAGCTCAAAAGGTGAGTGAAGCTACACGGGTGTACGGTTTTATTGTGAGAAACTGCAGAAGCTTCTACTGCCTCTATCTACCAAAGTATATTTCTGTCTCCTTCATCCAGACCACCCTATACTTTGACGGTAAAACTTTAACAGCCACTAACTCTCCTCTCCATAACCCTTTCCAAACTCCACTGTACCTCACTTTCCAAATGCGTCCCATTAGATCAATCTGATTCGCCAGATTTCTATGGTCCAAACTGGATCTACCACATTCACCCTCAGCTTGAGCATCTTCAACGTTTTCCGTAATATCCTCTTCAAAACGCTTTTTGAAGTTATTGTTCAAGCAGCACTGACACATCACAAACAGTACCGCTGGGGATGCAAAAGCGACTGTGTTTTTGATTGCGAGCCAAGTGGGATCAAGATGGTTGTAACGCTTCCTTTCCGCAAAAAGTCCAGAAAAGATGGAATGCAATGAGGATTCCAACTTTTCTGCACAATCACAGAAAGGGGGTTACCATTAGCTTCCGGTAGCTCAGTCGGTGGCATGAAGACATCTACAGGCGTGTGTCGACCATGGCATGGCTAGAGGATAGAAGAACAAACAGAACACAAAAATTTAACAGATTTTATTTAACAAAAAAAAAGGCATTTTCATTACATTACAATTTTACAAAAATAACAAAATAAGTTTTACATCTTTGGCGCTGCTATAACGCTATCGACTTATCTTTCGCTGGTCCATTTTTACTCGACTGAAGCCAGGATGGCCAGGGGCTTGAAGGGGAGGTCCCAGTTATGAGGGGTGACCTCCATATAGTGGCTTCACAACCAGTTGTAGGCGAAGTTAAAGGCGATGGCGCTGCCAAGGTACATGCATGGGTGAAAATATTGGCCAAGGCTAGGCAAAGTGAAACGGAAAGAGAAAGGGGGTGGCCCCAATCTGAAAAAGAACCGTGTGCATTAGCAACGTGCCCTAATGGCCAAGGCATTTCCAATCTCAGTCTGCCTCAAAAGAGAACCAACGATTTTCTAGGTTAGAATTACATTATATAGTTTGATAAAATCAAACCGAAAATTGGAAATGCCTTTCATAAAATAAAATCATGAAATAGCAAAAAAAGCGTAGAACAAGATGGTGGTCATCAAAAATTTCTCCGCATGCTTCTGATATAAAAACATAATCATCGAATATTCATAATCAACGTACTTATAATTTCACTGAACTATGAATATATATACGCGCACAGAGGTAAAATCGATGTGGATCGATTTCCACCTCAATTTGATTAAAGTTATGGCGAATGATCGAAGTAGTCGAAAATGACGTTCGATGGATATTTTAAAATCGTACAAGAAATAAATCACTTACATATCGATTATCTATAAACTACAGGCAGATCCAGCAATAAAACTGTATAGTATTATAAAACTCACCATTTTTGTCCTATACGGACACACATTCTAGAAAATTCTAGCACATGGTGCTATATAACCTTGTGCTACTGAGAAGAAATTTCTAGCCGTTGTTCGATCGGCGGCTCAAGTGAAAAGGAAGCGCGAGGAAGATCGCAGATCAGGAACTCCGCATCAAGCGCTCCAAGCGGAAAATTTTCCAAGCAAAAAGCTAGAGATGGGATTAATGAAATGATAATCGAGAAGTGATTTAATAAATACGATCGGACGGTGAAACCGTTACATGGTTTTCATCGACTTTGGAAGTCGTTAAGCCAGTTGCATTCAACATTTCGTCTTCCATTTCTGAAAGACATTGGAAACCTGTTGTTGTCGGTAGACAGGAGTTTGGATACACCTTGTAATAACAGAACTTGTCGACTAACTGTTCCACATAAATGTTGAATGTTGTCAATGCACGCGCATATAGGTGCACCTTCAGGTAAAAGTACTCAATGCGACTTAGATATATTCTTCCGGGATTAAACTCGTTATCATGAATGCCGGGACAAATTCAGGGAAAAGAGATTACCGAGTTTCGTCCAAAACGAAAATGAGTACACCAGAATTTAAAGGTAATATAGTTAAGAAACTATTGAAATAGATAATACTCTAACACTGAATTCTCTTTCTTCCATATACTATTTTTCAATCCGCATACCTGTATATTTCTGTCTCCTTCATCCAGACCACCCTATACTTTGCCGGTAAAACTTTAACAGCCACTAACTCTCCTCTCCATAACCCTTTCCAAACTTGCCTTCCTTTACAAATGCGTCCCATTAGATCAATCTGATTCACCAGATTTCTATGGTCCAAACTGGATCTGTCACAATCACCCTCAGCTTGAGCAACTTCAACGTTTTCCTCAATATCCTCTTCAAAACGCCTTTTGAAGTTATTGTTCAAGCAGTGCACTGCTACACACATGATCATCACCAACAGTACCGCTGGGGATGCAAACGCGAGCATGATTTTGATAGCCAGCCAAGTAGGATCGTAATGGTCTTCATCGACTGCGAAAAACCTTAATCCAGTTGTGCTCAACACTCCGTCTTCCATTTCTAAAAAAAATTGGTATCCTGGGTCTGAAGAACAAGGAGGATATAAAGGAAAATAGCCTTCATTCAACCAAAGGATGTTCGTAAAAGACGTTATAATGCCAAGTAATACACAGGGTAATTTGAACGACTGCGTGTCAGCAACAGAAACCAGCGACACGGAAACAGAAACCGATGTTACTCTTTTGTCTCCTATTTCAAATCTTCCAAATTCGGAGCCCACATGCGCGCGTTCTTTTTCCCGAAATACTGACACTCCAGTGCATCCACGTAAAAAAGAAGTGACCGAAATTGACACTTACATAGAAATTGAAAAGCAAAAATTAGACTTATTGAAAAATGACCAAAGAAAGGTATTCAAAATGTTATAATGGAGGATCTCCGACGAGAAACACAAAGTAACTGTAGGGCATTCTCCTTTGCATCCAGGATATTCTTCAGAAACACAAGCTTCTGGATTAGAAAACTATCGACCACCATTTTTGAGTTGAGGCGATGTTTGTTTTATGGTTTTTATTACACGTTTTATTTAATGTTCATTCTATGTTGATTTTCTTAGTACATATGTTGATTTTTATTACATTTTGTAAAGTATCGAAATAAAGACATATGACTTACCTTCTAAAGCCTTTATGATGGAAAAATAGGCTTTTTAAAATTAGCTGTTTTCTTTTGACGGCTTATTAATATAATTAAACGTTTCCACTGACATCCTTGAAAACTGGAAAAAACTTACGGGATCACCGCGAAGTTGATTATAGAGGTGGTGGTATTCGCCGTAAGTGACTCTCTTTTTATTGAGTTCATGAACGCCTTGTCTCTTTTAATTTTGTTTCTAATTAGTCATCGTAGCCGTTGATTTTCCATAAGTAGCAACCGCTTTGTTACAGAACTCATCAGGTCTAATTCGAGAAAATAACTGAAATAACGCTGGACCAATATGAACACGACAACGCGCGCGATGATAGCTCTCAAGCGGCATCGCTCAACGCTCGTGACCTAATACTGTATATTAAATAGGAGGCAGAGTTCCTTTTCGATAACACTGCTGTTGTCTGTTTCGTTCACTTCAGTGCATGGTCTATGTTCACGCCTAAAAACTGTGCAGTGTTCGTTTTTCCGTTTCAATAATTGGTTGAGTCGTTATCGAAGTATACAATATTTTATCGATGTTCAAATGGAGTAAGTAGTCATTGCACCATTCTGCTACATTATTTACAAGCTTAGTTGATTTTTGAGACAACTGTTCTATGTTTATGTCAGTCACTATACCCGATATATCATCATCGTACATGAATAACGAAGTTAAATTCATAGATTTAGATAGATCATTTATGTACACCAAAAATAACATTGGTCCAAATATTGACCCCTGTGGAATCCCCATAATAATTTTCTCTTCTTTCGAATAAAATAAATCACCATTTTCAGCTGTAATACTAACTACTTGAGAACGATTGTTTAAACATTGGCGAAGCGTCGGATTCTACAGTATTCCAGTTTTAAGAGAAGTATCTCATGGTATATTGAAGCAAAGGCTTTGGATAGGTCCAACTACACCCCGATTATTTTTTACCAGCATCTAGTTTCAATTTTTTTTCAATTCAATAGGCTTTATTCAGAAAAAAAAGTTGATATAAAAACAAAATGAATGAATAAAGCATGAGCCGATAAGTGTAAGATAACACTTGTTTCGGCATAAAAAGAAACCGTATATCTATATATCTATACTAAAAACACATTGTAATCTCACATACATATATAGTATATCGTAAGCTAAAATGGTATTAAAATAAGAATGATTAAAACACTGTAACAAATAATACTAACAAAAAAAGAGGCAAATAAAAGAAACCTATCACACAGACATAACAAATATACAGGTAGTTGACAAATAGTAAGCAGATGACATATCGTTTTATAAATCTATGTAACCTGATCAATACAGATTCATAATTACACTACAATAGATTGCTAATGTAGTAAGTTCTCTATTGATCCTCGTGGTTGTTTCAAAATGAATTGCTTCAACGCTTTCTTGAATGGCGCCAAGTTGTTGATGCGTTGCAGATGTGGGGGAAGACTGTTGTACAGTTTAGGAGCAATATAAGTATACGAACGCTGTACTACACACTTTTGGAAAAATGGTACGACATGGTGGTGTTTTTGCCGTGTTGAGTATGGGTGTATTGGAAGCGTAGAGACCTGTTTATTACAGTGATATTTAGAGGCAATTTTAAAACAGAATGTCTGTCGAATATCAAGGTTGTTAGTTTTACTGTATAAACGATCAGATGGAAATCTTGGCTCTCTGGAATATGTTAGTTTTAATATTCTTTTTTGAAGTATTTCAACATGGAGGATATGTCTTCGAAGATCCTCCCCATGCTAGTATGCCGTACCTTATGTGACTTTCCACTAAAGCGTGATATAATGTTTCCATCTGGTAGGTTGTCAATATTTTTTTCATACATCGGAGTTTTGAGAGAACCGTACGCAAATTTTTACAGATGAAGTTTTTATGTTTATCCCATCTCAGATGTTCATCTATAATCGCGCCAAGGTACTTAGCACTTTTTTCTGGCTTCATTGAATGTTGTTTCCCATTTATACTGACACTTATATCACTAAACGATGGCTTCCTAGATTTATTGCATGTAAAGGGGATATAACATGTTTTTTCCCAGTTTACTGTTAATAACGTGTGCTGGAGCCATCTCATTATATTTGGTAGGTCAGTCTCTACGGTGGATTCGAGATTTTGCCAAGTGTCTGCTTTGTAAAATATAGCGGTGTCATCTGCAAATCCAAAGATGTCTCCACTACATTGGACCGAAAACATCTCATTGTTGTAAATATTAAATAGTATAGGCCCTAGAACGGTGCCTTGCGGCACTTCATTATCTAATCTAACAATCTGGGTACGGTTAAGTAAATAGCTCTCAAAAAGCTTTATGCAATTCCCTCTGATACCTATGTCCTCTAGTGTTTGTAAAAGTAACTCATGACTGACAGTATCGAACGCTTTCGATAAGTCGATAAATGCACAGAGGCTAGGACTATTTTCTATATATCTTCTATATATCTTTGAGGTGACTGCTAAAATAGCATCTTCTGTAGATACTTTATGTTTGAAACCATATTGTTTGTTAGATATAATATTGTATTTTGTCAAGATACGACAATAATCTTTTCTTTAATAGCCTTTCGAATATTTTTGAAAGGTGTGTTATAAGTGATATTGGCCTGTAATTCGTTACTAGCTGGTTATCTCCTTTTTTGTATATAGGTGTAACCACGGTCTCTTTGAAAGCTTTTGGCCAACAACCTTGTGCGACACAGAAGTTGAAGATGTATGTTAGTGGTTCTGCAATGTGCTCGGAAATGAACTTTATGGTTTCAGGGCGAATTTTGTCTGTTCCGGGAGATTTTCTTGATTTGAGATCTCTCATGATGTGCTTCATTTCTTCAATATTTGTTGGGAGAAGAACAAATGAATTTACGAATGTTTTCCTACGTGGACGAAAATTTGGGTCTCTATTAATTTTGCTGGCCGTTTCTTGTCCTATTACACTGAACACATTATTGAACTCGTTTGCTATTGTTTTTTTATCTATTAGAAGTTGTCCGGAATCCGTCTTCATCGTTGTTACATTTTCCTTTTTCTTTTTATTTGAGCTATCTCTCTTACCAATTTCCAAAGAGAGGTAAAACTTTAACAGCCACTAACTCTCCTCTCCATAACCCTTTTCAAACTTCACTATACCTCCCTTTCAAAATAGATCAACCTGATTTGCCAGGATCACCGCCAGCTTGAGCATCTTCAACGTTTTTCTCAATATCCTCTTCAAAATGCCTCTTGAAGTTAGTGTTCAAGCAGTACACTGCTACATACACGATCATCACAAGTGCGAGGATGATTTTGATAGCGAGCCAAGTAGTGTCGGGATGAATTTCATCCACTTCGGAAATCGTTAAGCCAGTTGCATTCAAAACTTCGTTAAGTGGTCCTTGCATAGAAAGTCCGATTATGTTTTTCTATTATCTGATGCATCCATCTGAGGCAAGCTGGTATTGTTTGTCTACTGTCTTTGCCTGACCTGTTTTATCGTAGTTTTTTATTCCCAGAGCTTTGTTGCCTTTGAAGATTATTATTATTGGAAATGTACTAGTGAGATAGCAGTTGTTTTGGAAGAGTTACAAAAGGTTTGCTTGTAGGATCTGTTTAGGAGAAATGATTGTAGTGATAACCTGTCAAGGCGGCATTTCTTTGACTTAACCCGTATAAGGAGATGAAAGCCAACCCGATGAGGAGAAATAGGCTTTGACATTACTGCAGCTGTTTTTCGGGCACCCCATTTTTCTATGCAATTTCATAGTTGTCCCATTAACGAGAACGAAAATCTATACCATTTATAGAATGCAGTAATGAAATAATTACAATAACTCATATGGTTCCGTTTAGATGTAGTCGAAGCCAATGAGGACCGTTCAACAAAGACATTACAGCGTCTGTTACAAGCATACCCAGTTTTTCAGCTAACTTCATATTTGCCTTATTTGCAAGAACGGAAAAAGGGTATCGTTTATAGACTGGTATTATAACTGAACTATTTCGTAAACTATGGCAATGTTCTATAAGGTTCAGGCACATCCCGATTTTTTAGGCAATTTTAAGTTTGCCTCATTATCGAGGATAAAAAAGCTTTTTGATTCATAGAAATTGATGCATTGGATCTGGAATATCTCACGGACTGTACGGTTCCTGTATGGTTCCATGTTGACGGAACCATTTTTCTGGCAAGTTCAAGTTTGCCTCGTTTATGGGAATTTATTGGCACCAAAGTAGATTGGGCACTGGTACCTAGGCCTGTTTCTGAAATTTTAAAAAGATCTAAAAGTGTTAATCTGTGGACATTAACAGCTCAGTTGTATTTATTGCTAAAACGCGTATGTATTAGAGCAAGTGGTAAAATGCACTGAACATGAGAAATGAGAAATTTATCTAACAAATATTAGCAGGGAATGATTAAGCGATTTGATTGTCGTTTTTGACTATAAACCTAATTTTTCACTCAATACAGCTCAAAAGGTGAGTGAAGCTACACGGGCGTACGGTTGTATTGTAAGAAACTGGAGAAGCTTCTACCGCCTCTATCTATAATGTCTGCCTCCTTCATCCAGATCACCCTATACTTTGACGGTAATACTTTAACAGCCTCTCCATAACCCTTTTCAAACTTCACTGTACCTCCCTTTCAAAATAGATCAACCTGATTTGCCAGAATCACCGTCAGCTTGAGCATCTTCAACGTTTTTCTCAATATCCTCTTCAAAATGCCTCTTGAAGTTAGTGTTCAAGCAGTACACTGCTACATGCACGATCATCACAAGTGCGAGGATGATTTTGATAGCGAGCCAGGTAGTGTCGGGATGAATTT